CTACCAATAATAATCATAAACCTTTAAGTTTTCGAATCTGTGGAGGCCCATAAAGATGTTCTAACTAATCCATTTCCCTAATTTAACAGAAAATAATTAAATAAGGTCACTCAGTTCCCAGAGATAGGACCAGGACTTGAGCCTTTTGATTCCCAGTCCAGTATGAGATTAGGTGTTCATCCAGGGGGCTATCTTTATGGTCTATTTGCTGTGTGCAGTGTCCTTTGTTGATGCTGGAAGCTGCCCTCGCAGAGCTTAACATTTGGTGGCAGAGACTGACAGTAAAACAAGTAAACAAGCATTCAAGTAGGAAATAAAAGGATGATGAGAACTGGTGATAGCCATCATGAAAGAAACTAATGAGGTAAAGTGACAGAGAATAACTGGATTGAGGGAAAATAAGGGAAATGAGTAAGAGGTCAAAGAATGCCTCTTTGAGAAGGTAGCATATAGGTCCAGGACAAGAAGGACCTCATCAGAGAAAGAGAAACAGAGGCAGGCTTTAAAAGTTGGGAACAATAAATTTCAGGCAGAGGATAAGAAATGAGTTTTGCATGTTAGAAGTAGTAAAAGGAGGCCAGGGCAGCCACCAAGAGGAGGACCAGAGGCAGTGAGGCCCAAGAGGAGGCTGGAAAGGAGAGCAGAGGTCAGGTGAAACAAGGCCTGGGAGACTTTAAAATTGTACTTTATTCAAAGTGCACTTGGAAACCCAGAGGATTTTTTAACTCACAGGAACAACCCGATTGGATTTAGGTTTTATTTTTTAAAGATTTTATTTATTTATTCATGAGAGACACAGAGAGAGAGGCAGAGACACAGGCAGAGGGAGAGGTAGGCTCCATGCAGGGAGCGCGACGTGGGACTCGATCCCAGGTCTCCAGGATCACGCCCTGGGCTGAAGGTGGTGCTAAACCGCTGAGCCACCAGGGCTGCCCTGGACTTAGATTTTAAAGATCACTCTGAGGGGCACCTGGATGGCTCAGTGGGTTGAATGTCTGACTCTAGATTTCAGCTCAAGTCAGGATCTCAGGGTTCTGGGATTGAGCCCCTGATTGGACTCCCCACTGAGTGGGGAGTCTGCTTTTCTCCCTCCTCTTCCTCTATCCCTCCCCCATCCCACTAGCACTCTTTCACTCTCTCAAATAAATAAATAAATCTTTAAATATATTTTATATATATATATTTGCATATATATATATACAAAGATCACCTTTTTAAAAAAAGAAGATTTTGTTCATTTATTTGATAAAGACTACAAGCAGGGGGAGCAGCAAGCAGAAGAAGACGAAGAAGCAGACTCCTCATGGAACAGGGAACCCAATCCCAGGACCCAAAGACCATGACCTGAGCCCAAGGCAGCCTCTCATCCTACTGAGCCATCCAGGTACCCCTATAAAGATCACTTTTGACTTCTGTGGATGGAGAGTGGAGTGGAGTCAGAGACATTTTAATTTTTTTTATTTGAATTACACTAAATTTGGTAAGAAAAGAAAGTTTCTTCCAGGCATGGTGAATATATCACCTGTGGAATTAGTTAACAATTTAGATAATTTTGCTAGGTGATTCTGAGAATTATTTGCTACCACATCCTCTTGATTATTGTTACTGTGAAACTCTTCAAGGCTGCTAACTGAATATTCAGTTCTTTATAAAGAAGGTTGATCTCTGCCTATACAGAGCTAGGCAAACAGACATGCAGACCAATGAAAGACAGCAGTTAAGCACATTAATGCAGATAAGAATAGAACTTATCCTTTGGGACCCTCCAGTCAGTTCTAAAGTTCTTTTCTCTCAGTCTCTCTCCCTTTCCCTGTGCATGCATGCGACAAAGCCAGTATCCCTGGTGTTATAGCCAGATCTCAAAAATCTCAGTGATCTTTTTTTATATGACCAGAATTGAGAATCTTCTTTTGAACTTCTGTAACATTCTGTAATGTTCTAGGAGAAATGGCACACAAAAGCTTTTGAATATCTCTGAAGTTTCTAACTAGATGTGCTTATTTGAGGAATGGGATAGAGGATGTATTCCAGAAAAATTGGTAAACGCACTCCTAAGTTTCAACTCCACATCATCAGACATTAGAACTGGGAGGGGCCTCAGAGATCCACTAAGCCAATTCATTCATTTTGCAGGTACGGAAACAGACTCAGAGAAGCCAAGGTCATAAAGTTCGTGGATGGCAGTCCTCAGTTTGAACCTTCTTCCAGGATGTTTGGACCTCTCTTCAAGAGCACTTCCTTTAAAGGAGAACAGCCAGGAGGGGGATGTCTTTTTCTTTTTTAAAATTTTTTAAAAAATTGTTTATTCACTAGAGACACAGAAAGACAGAGACATAGGCAGAGGGAGAAGCAGGTTCCCCACAGGAAGCCTGATGCGTGACTTGATCCCAGGATCACGGGATCATGCCCTGAGCGGAACACAGATGCTCCACCACTGAGCCACGCAGGTGCCTCCAGGAGGGAGATGTCTTACATGACCTTGAGATAACAAGAAAGCCGAGCAATTCCTCAAAGTCAGGATGGAAAGAAAACCCAGGAGGACCAGAAAGGATTCTCATTTATGCAGGCTGTCCTGAGGACCTGCTATGTGCCAGAGTTACACCATGGAAATGCATAAAGCTCCTACTTGAAATGATTACAGAAAAAAGATTGCATGCTATTCTGGGGAAGCACTGACCACATAAGCTAAAAATGTTCAGAAAAAAAAAAAGAACCAGAAATAGAATAGTGGGCAGGATCAGGAAGGAATATCTGGGTGGGAAAGTCTATGAGCAATGACACAGAGGTAGGGATAACAGAAAATTAAAAAAAAATGTTTTTGCACATGGTAAGTGATCGACACCTGTTTATATGTGAGAGTGATACTCAGAGCATTAGAAAATAGGAAGTAGTGGGGAATATTATATGAGAGGAACTAGATTAAGATGGACATTGGATCAGGGAACAAGATTTGATCAGTGCACAAGACAACTTGGTCTGCTGGGGAATATGTATATTATATAAATATCTGGAATATTGAAAAAAAAAAAAGAAAAAAGTACTGGTACTTCCAAAAGGAGAAAGGAGGGAAAACATGAACAAGGTTTACAAAATGTAATTAGTTTGTGAGCAAGCATGTTTCCTGGTACAATGCACAATTCCTTGCATTGTGCCAGGAATTAGGCAGGTAAGGATAACTAATACATGGTCCTTTTTTTTGCCAAATAATGACACATATAGGTAATGGGACAGCGTGCAGCCATTAAGAAGAATGTGTTATCTCTTAAAGGAACTGTACAGAACAATTTCCCTGTTTACCTGCTAAGTGAAAAAAACCAAGAAGCAGAATAAGCATATATAGTGTGCTATTTCTAAGAAAGAGGAGGGAGACATGCTTGTTTGTATTTATACAGACAAGCTCTGGATGGACATATAAAACACTGGTCACAGGGGTGTCTCTTGGGAAAATTAGCTGACTGGGGAAGAGCAAAAAAAGGCTTTTACCATGCATTTTTAATTTTTTTTGTATTTTATATTAATATGTTAATAATTAATATGTTGCACATATTAACTTCAAAAATAATTTTTAGGGCTGCCTGGGTGGCTCAGTCAGTTAAGCGTCTGTCTGCCTTTGACTCAGGTCCTGATCCCAGGGTCCTGGGATCAAGCCTCATGTCAGGCTTCCTGCACAATGGGGAGTCTGCTTCTCCCTCTGCCCCACTCAGTGTTCTCTCTCTCTGTCAAACAAATAAAATTTTAAAAAAACTAATAGTAATTTTTAGAAATTTACAAATAAAGCTCAGTTCTTTTTCAAAGATGCTCACCATTTCATGTTATGGATCCTGTATCCTGTTACCTGCTTTGATCAACAGGTACACTTGACCTCCATCTAGATTCCTGTATCTAGACTCAGTAATAGTTTGTTTGTTTCTTTGTTTGTTTGTTTGTTTTTATTAATGAGAGAGAGAGAGAGAGAGAGAGAGCCCGCGCGCAGCAGAGACACACGTCAGGGAGCCTGACGTGGGACTTGATCCCAGGTCCCCAGGATCAGGCCCTGGGCTGAAAGCCTGCTAAACAGCTGAGCCACCCGGGCTGCCCTAGACTCAGTAATAGTTGATGCATCTTTCCTCGATTGCCTGTCCTCAGTAGCAACAGAAGCAATTTTAAAAATGAGAAAATGAGATCCTCTGGTCCCTGCAACCTTTTTACCCGCTTGGATGGCCCACCTTCCACCTTACACAGTATCTGATATCCACATCTTTTATTTATTTATTTTAAATTAATATCTTTGCCCGAGGTGGGGCTTGAACTCATCACCCTGATATAAAGAGTCGCAGGCTCCATTCACTGAGGCAGACGGGGGCTCCGCTTTTAATTTATTTGTTTATTTATTTTTGAAAGCCACATCTTTGAATGCACCTGCCTCATACAGGAGAGCAACAGTTTAAGCTGGGGAAGACGAAGGAAGTTTTCATTTTTTATTTTTATTTATTTATTTTTTAAATATTTTATTTATTTATTCATGAGAGACACAGAGAGATGCAGAGAGAGAGGCAGAGACGCAGGCAGAGGGAAGCAGGCTCCATTCCACGCAGGGAGCCCGACTGGGACCCGATCATCCCGGGTCTCCAGGATCACACGCTGGGCTGCAGGCAGCGCTAAACCGCTGTGCCACCGGGGCTGCCCCTCATTTTTTATTTTCAAGATTTATCGATTTATTGATTTATTTGAGAGCGGAGAGAGAGCACAAGAATGGGGCTGGGGGCTGGGGAGCAGAGGCAGAGGGGGAAAGAGGGAATCCACAAATGCACAAGCCGCCTCCCCACTGAGCCCTGAGCCTCCAGGACCCTAAGATCGTGACCTGACCGGACCCCTTGTGGATGGAGCCACCCAGGCGCCCCTGAAGGAAGTTTTTTAAAAGGGGAGGAAAAAGCCCGGAATGTGGCCAAACGCCTTCCTTCAGGCTCCTGCGCGCATTTCCTCTGGCCTTGAGGAGCCGCCCCTCTCCAGTCCGCGCAAACACAAACTCTTCTCCCGTCACGTGCCTGCCCGGGCCAGTGACCGCTCGGTCACTGGAGGAGCTCGGTCCCCGGTCGCGGCGGCCGCCCGGGAGGAGAGGAGCCTGGGCCGCGGCGGGGACCTCGCAGCAGCGGGGACGCGGGGCGCTGCGGAGGTGAGTGGGCGCTGCGGGCGGGAGCTGGGGGCCGCGGCCGCGCCCGAGCGCCCCAGCCAAGGCCAGGCCGTGCTTCTCCCCTCTGCTCCCTGCCTTCCTCCCCCCCGCTTGCACGACGGGGCAGGGGCGCCCTGAACGACGCCCTGCGCCGGCTCCTTGGGGCCCCGAGCCCCCTCGTGCCTCTGGTCCGCGCCGCCTGCGAAGGCTGCGGACTCTGCCTTGGGGGCCACCCCCTCCCCTGTAGTCTTGTTTCTCTAGCAATTGCCAGTAAGTCCTGTCAGATGGACGGGGTTTGGCTTCACGACGCTGTGAATACGCGAGACGCTCTCAAGTCGGAGTTCTGAAAAGAGGAAAATCCGGTGGGAAGTCTGTCTGTCGGGAAGCAACTTCCAGAATCACCTTGGGAGGCACCCAGCCCGTTTTAACTGTCTTAAAACTGTAAAGTCCCCAGATCAACGTGTGAGCCGGAAATGAACAACCATGTCAAAGCTGTCTTGTTGCAAAATACTAAGATTTACCTTGGTTTTCAGGATTACTAGCACTTTGGTAGTTCCTAGAAAGGACCCTCAAAAAGCTTGCTGGGTGAGCGGATGCAGGCACTGGGTAGATGGGGATGAGGGATAAAGGTGGTGGTTTTCAGATGCACCTACAGGCCCTTTGGGGCTTTAGGCAAGCAAGACAGGATACAGACTGTGGTTTGCTTCAGCTTCATGTGCAATTCCAACTACGTTTTTCAGATTGAGATATCAAGATTCTGAAATCAACTTGGTAAAACAAATGCTCTAAATGCTTAGAACAGAGAGGCCTTAGTACCAGGGAAAGGTGCTGATACATTCAAAGCAAGTGCTGGACACCTCCTAAGGGCAAAAAACAATGATTTTTCTTCAGTTCCTCTTCCTTCGCTTATTCAACAGCTACTTCCTGAATATCTGCTACATGGCAGGCTCCTGCCTGGTTCTGTGGATCTCACAGTAAACAAACAGGCAGCCTCAGTTTCACAGGCAGACAACCAAGCAGGACAGTCACTTCTCAAAGGGTACCCGTATCCTGCAGCAAAAGCAGTGAAGGGAACATTGCTAGAACAATCCAGGGTCTTTTGGGCATGGAGTTTCACCTTTCCTTCAGGCATTTCATCCTCTTGAATGAGTACCTTTTCATCTATAAAAGTCTTACTTGTATGCATACCGTGGTCACAGCAGCTCCTCAGAATCTTCCTCACCAGAGGCTTTAAGCTGTGTAACTACATTTCACGTCAGTGTCCTCAGCTCCAAAGGCCGACTGCTCAATTTTTTCCAAGAAGACGAACAGCCTGAGAGCAGAGGCTGAAGTAATGGGAGTTCCAGGCCTCCTGTCAGTAGCCCTCTCCCAGTGTTGTTTCCCACTAATGAAAGAGAATTTGTGCTCTTCCAAACACACCTGCAGCACCCAGCGAAGTCTCGGGAAGCCTGGATTTTTCCAGAAACTGAAGAGTTTGAAATAAGTCACTTCTGTTATTTGAGGCCTATATTCTTTGCTTATGAAATAGAAGAGGTAGGCTAGATGATCAGCGAGGTCTTTTTTTTATTTTTTTTTGCCTTTTTTTCTCCTCCAAAAGTAAATAATTCTACTAATTTCATAAGATGTTTACAAAGAAACAGTAGACAGTCATATAAAGATGATGTCTCTTATACCTATAAAAGGGACACTCCTCAACCATGCAGAATATTCAGGGACCTAGAATCTGAAAGAAAATCTGAAAGACTCAGGCTGCAGACAAAACTTAAAATTAAACTGTCTCTACTCCTCCCACCTTCACCCTATTCCTCTGTTCCATATTCAGATTCTCAAGGTCATGAACATCCGCTGTAAGCCTTACCGTATCATGTATCATTTTCGTAGACTGGGGATTGTCATCCGCTGTAAGCCTTACCGTATCATGTATCATTTTCGTAGACTGGGGATTGTGCAGTAACAAACTTACATAGTCAGAATCACCTGCTCTCAAAAGAACCATACTTAAAAAGTATCCAATTTGGATAATCTCAAAATATGTATCAAATTCCCTTTAAAGGGGAATCAATTCATTGTAACAAAATATTAGACTATTTACCTCTAGTGCCTTTCTTTCTCTTCCCTACATGCATTCCCATCATAAATGCAATTTCATATTCTCCTCCTTCATACCTTCTCATTTGGAAAATCAAAGCTATATAGGATTACTTTATTAAATAGGGCAAGAAGCATGTCCTATTCATCTTTGTATCCCTTGTAGCTACCACTGTATCTGGCATACAATAAGTGTTTCTTGAAAAAATGATTCATATTTTAGAGAAAACATGTTCTGTTTTCCCTTCAGTATTAAAACACCTGCACACTTGCGCGCACGCACACACACACTATCTAATCCATTATTCATGGCTAATAGAGGCTGAGCTCATTCTTGTGTGTTCCTTCACAGTCCTAATGCCCACCCTGCATTCACCAACACCAGCACATTCTATACTTTTTGCAGACTCCGTTAGTATACCAAGCACTGAAATCAAGTTCTGCCACTAAATAGCTGGGTAATTTGAAGCTGAACATTGAACATTTCTTTCTTTTTTAAAAAAAATATTTTATTTATTTATCCATGAAATACAGAGAGAGAGAAAGAGGCAGAGACACAGGCAGAGGGAGAAGCAGGCTCCACACAGGGAGCCCGATGTGGGACTTGATCCCAGGACTCCAGGATCATGCCCTGGGCCGAAGGCAGGCGCTAAACCACTGAGCCACCCAGGGATCCCCTGAATATTGAACATTTCTATGCCTCCATGTCTTCTGATGGAAAACAGTAGCATCTGAATTGAAGGGCTCTGAGATAATATCTAGTCGTTAGGACACTGCCAAAGGTAGAGGAAAAGGTCAGAGGAGAAAACACAATAAAAATGTAATGATTATAGCACCCTAACATATTAAATATTAATCGCTGTTGATTTTGTTTGCCAAAATTTCTAATGCAAGCACTCCCATTAGCAATCAATGTAGTTCACCTTCAACCTCTGTGGTTGAAGACACATGTGCCTGCCATGTTTGGGGTCTCTCCTAGAACCTTCTGATGGACTCTGTCCACTTAAAACTAAAAACATGTCTGCCAGCGGGTAGAGAGGCACAGAAAACAAGCTGCTGTGGCATAAAATATTCAGCAGTCTATAGGGTTGCGCAGCTTAGAGGAGTCAGCCACCTAGGTAAATATTCTTAGAGAGTATATGGGTGTATTACCTTAGCCAAAGAACAAATATTAGGAGATGCTTCATTGCCTCCACTGACATCAGGTTTGAACAGACAAATGCCATGGCTCCTGCAGCCAAAGGGGCCTTCGTACCACCAGAAGGTAAACAGTCACCTTTCCTTTGGCCAGGTTTACCTGGAGCCGAGGGTTCTCAGGTCCAACTCAGATATCAGTCCCTAATCATTCAAGCCAGCATCTTAGTCTCTCTTATTTCTTGCTTTAAATTTTAATATCTGGTTCTGTTTATTGATACTCTATAGCCAGTCTCCATCTCAAAAGAGTTTGAAACAGTTTTCAATCAAGGAGATATACAACTGCAAATAAATAAAAACTGATCAAAAAAAAAAAAAGTAAAAACTGATAGAAACCATCCGGCACTCAGTAAATACCTTCCATTCTGTTTTAAGTTGTAATCCAAAGAGAAAAGAACCAGATATTTTACCGCCATTGCTTTTCTTTGGGAACATGGAAAGTTGTTAACCTAAATAAATAAATAAGTAAATAAATAAATAAAAGAAGAGACAGGGCACTAGTTCTTAACCTTTAATAATCTAATGAAAGCTATGGATCTTTCTATCCTGAAGAATGAACATGGAAAAATTGGCCTACAGTTTCAGGGGAAACAAAGACTTCTCAAAGGAGTTGAAATTAATCTGATTTAGAGAAGTAGAAAGCTAGTTATAGAGAGAGCTAATTACAAATCTTTAATATTTCCTATGAATGGGCATTGAATTTATTTTAAAAATTTTGAACAGTTCTGTAATTTTCTGAATAGGTAAAATTTACTCATGGTACAAAATTCAAAAGGCAGAAAAAGGCATTATAGTAAAAAGATAGCTTTCCTTCTACTTCGTTCCGCAGTGGCCCAGTTCACCTCACCAGAAGCTGCCACTGTAACCAGTTTCTTAGATATTCTTCCTGCAATAGTCTAATATTCTATATATTATCCTATGCATACATAAACAGCATGCACACACATACACATATGTTCCACACATTGTTTTTTTCCACGCAATACTTCTGGAGAGTACACACAAAGTTGCCTTATTCCTTTGCTGGCTGAAAAATGTTTCACTACTGGATGTACCATAATTTATTTAACCAGTCGCTATTGATGGACATTTAATTTGTTTCTAATCCTTAGAGATTAAAAAGTGTCACACTGAACATCTTTATACATATATCATTTTTATATAGGGCTGTATAATAGAAAAAAATCCTCCAAAGTGTAATTATTGAGCATTAAGCTTAGCTTTGAGCAAAAAGGCAGGGGGGAGAGACCAAAATGGATTGCCTAAATTTTTTTGCATTTTACAAAAAAAGCATACCACTTCTTCCAAAGAGGAAAACTGTACACTAATCTTTATAAGAATTTCGCACCTGTACCCTAATACAAAATACATTGCTTCTTTTGGAGAATTAAATAATGGAGTAGGGAATATCTTCAGTGGCAGCTTTGATATTCATGTGGTAGATTCATACATCTATATTGATTTTTTTAAGTTTTTATTTAAATTCCAATTAGTTAACATACAGCGTAATATTAGGGTCAGGTGTGCTATGTACTGATTCAGCACTTCTGTATACCGGTGCTCATCACAACAGGTGCCCTCCTTCATCCCTATCACCTCTTTCACCCATCTCCCCATCCCCACCTTCCCTTGGATAACCATCAGTTTGTTCTTTATAGCTAAGGGTCTATTTCTTGGTTTGCCACCTCTCTATTTTCCCCTTCACTTTTTTTGTTTTGTTT